GGTCATTCTTAAATTATAGTCATGAATCCCACAGCTAATACTATAGATTCGCCTTTGGAGAGATGGGCGGCATACAAGTTTAATAAATAAATAAGTAATGTAGTACATTTTTAATTTTATGTTTGTTAAAGATCAAAACATAGTTTACTAATAGATAATAAAATAATGGTGAATAGTATTGGCTGCATATTTGAACAGATAATGTCCTATGTCAGGGGTGTCAAACTCAAGGCCCAGAGGCTGGATTCGGCCCGCAGGGTGTTTAGACCCTGGAAATAGAGAAGGACTGGCCCATGGTGCTTCTGCCAGCTAAAATGAAGCTTGGGAGGGCTGTGTTTTTGCTGGCAGAGGTTGCAGGAGGCTGTCGTAGCCGAAAATGGAGTTCAGGAGCCCATTTTCTCTGGCAGAGCGCTCAGGCCACAAGTGCCCCCCGACACGAGTGACGTCGAGATGGCCATGCCCCCCCTGGCCACGCCCCCCACTCCCCCAGGTCAAACACAACCCTGATGTGGCCCTCAATGAAATCGAGTTTGACACCCCTGTCCTATGTCCTTTCTTCTTCAGTTTGGCTTTTTTTTTTCTGGCAAACAGAAATCAAGGAAATTTCCACACTCTAAAAGTTTTAAAAGCTGAAAGTCACTTCAGCTGATCGCCTCCGAACAATATCCATTGCAAGCCTTTTCGTGTTTTTACCTGAAAGTTGCAAACTGCATATAGAATATAATGTAAACCGGAGGGATGAAAAGATTTTGGGACAACTTGATCACCAGCACAATTCTCCACATGACCTATAAGCAGTAAAGGCAGCTGACAACTATGTACACTCCTGTTCTCTTCCTATTTTGAACTCTCCACACATTCTGGCAAATGCCTGAAAGGAACTGTGAGCAAACTCCACACTCACTAACAGTGATGATGTTACCTATTCAGGTAATGAAATGCCTGCCACCAAGCAACCACAAGAGACCACCAAGGCTTTCATAGAGAATATTCTAACTACTTAAATGTTTGAAGAAATCATGAAAGGCCAAAAAATGTTCAATATATGTTGATATTTATCTAGGATACAGTACTTCACCATCGTATAGCTTCATCAACAGCTTTTTCATAATTACACTTGGTACAACCATCTCTGTGTATGCAGCCATCTTTGTGTATCTCAATTATACTGTTATCAGTGCTGCAATTGATCCTGTAAATCAGAGATTATTTTGATTGCACATTCTGCACAGAAGCTCCCTGGGTGATTCTGAACCCATCCAATCTCTCAGTTATTATGGGGAAAATACAAAAAGGAAACATTATGTATGTCGTCTATTGTTTATGAATGAAAGGTTCTCAATTGAATAATAAAAAAAGATCTGCTCTTTCTTCATTCAAAAAAATTTCTAAGTGATATTACTATCTCTCCCATTACACTTAGGTGTTATATTTTATAGGGCATTAAATGATATATGATTCAAGCCATCCAAACATATAAGAACTGAAGCACCAAAACCAATAATACCTATACTAAATTCAGTTTCTCAGACAGGGAGTTCCAAGGAACAGAAAAAAATATGGTTCGTAAAAAACAGGATGTCCACGAATTGAGCAAACCACATCTCTTTTTTCATTAAAGCTGTTCCCCTTTTTTTTTCAAGCTTCTGCAAGAGCTTGAAAAAGAGTTTCTTTAAAGAATCAATTTATTAAAATTACAGTTCTTAAAGCAACATTATCTGTGTTCACATGCTAGTGCAGTTCTGTCCCCAAATTGAGGCTGTTTGGGGTTCCACACTCACAAAGGATTGAATCACTTTGGAAATCATTTGAAAAGTATGCACAACCCTATAAAATACATCTTCTGAATACTACTAAGCACAGAAATAAGTCTTGCTATTTCTTGCTATATCTAATAGGATTGTGCAGCAAATGCTAGGATGTTTTATTAGCTATGCATAAAACACAAGATATTGTATCTGCTTAAAAAGCTTCTATTCCTCATATTTTTTCAAATTACCTGCTCCTAAGATTTATTATCCTATATCAGTTATTAAGATATAGTAAAGAACAAACAACAGAACAATCCACCTCTAATACATATCCAACAGTCATCCCTTTTATTATGTTTCATAAGCTCTTCTTCAGTAACTTCTAATAATCTTCCTTTTAGACCAGTTAGATCTTTTCCACTTTTGGTTAACCGTATCCAGTCCATAAGACTTCGACCTGATTTCAAAGGTACCTAAAAAGAGAAGAGGAAAATAAAGAACATTAACAAAATAAATAAAAGAGACATAGCATATTTGGATAACATATGGCAGATCAGGCACCCTTCTACAGCTCGCTTTTTTTTTAAAAAAAATCCACTGGCACTAAATGTCACCACAAGTAAGGATCTGCTGCCAGATTTTCACAGCTACTTCCAGCCTGAAGAACATGGTGCCATGTCTCCATTGCCTCATCAATGTCACCGTTCCATTGCTGATTAGCACATCAGGTATTCCTTTGTGATTCACAATTATTTTTTAAATATCAGTCCATCCCTTTCCACTCTACATTTATACAGTAAATACAATTTCTCTTTACTTTTAATTTGTCACATAGTGAATCCAAAGCTATACACAATTGCACAGAAGGACATCTAGGCTATGTTGAAAAGATGATGAATGATTTATAAAGTATATATTCCATATCATTCATTTCCATATGGCAATATAGAGTCTTTTTCTAACAAAATTGGAAATTATTGAATCTAAGCAGAAGAAGCACTACATACACTACCTTGAGTTCCTATACAAAAGTTGCAATAAAATTGTAATCAATCAACACATCAATAAACACACTTATGGCATTCCATAAAGCTGAACTATAGCATCCAACACAACTAGTCATTATAGCTAGAGCTACTGCTCTGCTACATATGGAAACTCAATAGCCCTCCATTACTAGGAAAGACAGTGAAGTAATAAATGGGGTACAATTTAGGTAAATGACAAAACTGAGAGATGTCAACAAGTGCTGTTTTCAGGATATTCAAGGGTCACAACATAATTTCCTTAAAAGATACTTCTGGTCTATTTTTTCTCAGCATATAAACTTCAGTTCATATTAAAGCAAACTCTGAAATTACGTCAATGTTCCAAAGCTCACATCACAAATATTCATCTAGTAACTGGCACACAAAGCAAATTGCTACATCAATTCAATTTTTTAAGATAAGTATATTACACAAGGAGCAGGAATTGAGTAAGAAAGAGTAGGCCAGAGATATTAAAGGCACAATGTTAAAAAAAGGAAGTGGTTATTTGACTCTATTTTCCCAGAAGAGGCACCACACATTTCATGATCTTTCTGTAATGTGGGCTACCCTATCACAACTGCATCCTGACTAGGTGTGCCATGAGCTCTCCCATCGGTCTCTGGGAAACAGAAGCAGCTGACAAATTGGTACAGTTATCAAACTTAAAGAAACTTTATGTTCTCCACTATTCCACTTGCCAGATTTTTACAGGCAAATCAGATCAACAACTTGGCTTCCCAGTTTCACAATCACAAAATCCATAGTCCATGTTAACAAAGAGCTTCTTTAAACCTCATCTTCTTACATACAAAAAAAAAAAAAAACGATGGCACATAATCATATTGCTTCTCGGCCACTTCCAAAATCTGCTTTTCTTCTTCCCCCATCTCACTTTTATTTTGATCCACGAATATGAAATACAGACATGGGGGGGGGGATTAACTATAAGCATCTAAGAAAGACAACCAGATGTTGTTCTTGTAAATCAGGATTTGCAGAACACTTGTATACAATAAACTGGGTTCCAAAACAAGCCAACAAAACGTCTGTTTTGCAAACGATTACGCAAGAGTGAATATTTTAGATCTCTGTGCCGCACAGAAAGCACACACCATTAAGAAGCCAATATGACTATATAAAACTTTTGTTTAATTGGTCAACGCGCTTTTCCCGTTGGATTATTTCTCCACGACAGGCAGAAATTAAACAGGTGCTCCGCTACAAATCGCGCCACCTGGTGATTTTCAATGCAAACAGCCTTTCCTTCCCCACGTCACGTTTAACAAGCGCTGCTCCGCAAATCCACCCGACATCCACCCACCCAGTCTCCCGTGGGACGTGAGACAGAGCAGCCCCACCAGGCAGGGCGACTCCAAAGCCGCCACCCAGCCCCGCACCTTGCTGCGTCCCGCGATGGCCACCCGCTGCTGTGAGTCGGGGGCAGGAAAAGACTGAGAAGGCACGTTCAGCATCTTCCCGTTGCGATCCTCCGCTTCCCTGAAAAAAAAAAAAAGACGGAGCCGGAGAGAGAAGAGCTTAAACCGCTTCCGGGTTCGGCCCGCTGAAAAAGCAGCTCCCGAGTGGAGAGGCGGGGTGGGAGAGTGCGCAGGCGCGCGCCGGGAGAGCACGCGCGAGCTGTTCCTGCGCTTCTCCTCCCTCACCCCCACCCCCGGCTCGCGCTTGAGTTTCGTTGTTTTGATTGACGTGGGAAAGTAGTATCGGCGGCGTTCGCTGGTGTGCAGGAAAGTCCCCCCCCCACTCCATTTAGTTCACATTCTCGCCCCTCCCTGTTGCTTGCTTGCTTCGCGCGCGCCGTACGCGCTTCTGCTGTCTATTTTTTGGCCTTAACATTTTATTCAGTTATATTATAAAATGAAAAATAAATAGAAAAATAGTGGGTGGGGGAAAGCTGCTTTCTTGAAGGGTCTGCGGGTGGCTTTGAATGGAATAGGAGAATGCGTGTGCAATCAGCCGAAATCATTTTTTTGTCAACCTCTGAAACTATATTTCAGGCTCTGAGATCCCTTAATGTAGAGCCAGTCCTGAATGGAACAAAGTAATTAAACGGAAGGAAATAAGAATTAAAATAATAAAGTAGTTAATTAGAATTAGAATTCTTTATTGGCCAAGTATATTTAGACAAGCAAGGAATTTGTCTCTGGTGCAGAAGCTCTCAGTGTACATACAACAATAGTGATAGATCATTATCATAGTCATTGTAAAAATACATTCATCATAAAACATTAGGTACAACACTTAGTGATAGTCATGGATACCTGATAAAGAAATTAATGTAAATCATACTAGAATACTAAGTAAACAATATAAATCTTAAGATACATGCAACACAATTATAGTCATAAGGAGATAAAGGAAGATGGGAATAATGATGATGTTGGTTCTGCTCATCAATCAGTCTCCATTTTATTTTCAGCGCCTTTCTCCCGGCTTGGAACTGGACCGCATTTTTCTTCCTACATGAGTATCGAAGGAACTCTCTCAAATATATTTGATCCATTAATTTGTCATTTCAGGATGGAAGTAAACTGAGAAGGGTCTCTTTATTTTTGCTGCAAAGGATCAATGGCTAAAATAAAGTCTTTTACACTGAGCTTTGCTGTTAGCAAAAAATGGCAGGAACAGGGCAGCAGACAGTACATGATGGTGTACAGATCAATAACATAAAGATGTGCATATAAATTTGAACAAAAGTTGAATGTATCCCTATATGACCAACAGTAGAGTTACCAAACAAAAAGGATTAATTTTTAATATTGGAAATACAAGGTGAGCCTAGTATGGGGCTCAACTTACAACCACTTATGACCACAATTGAGCTCAAAATGTTATTGCTAAGTGAGATATTTGTTGAGTGAATTTTGTCCCATTTTATGATTTTTCTTGCCACAGTTGTTAAGTGAATAACACAATACGGCAGTTAATAACTCAGTTGTTAAGTGAATCTGGCTTCCTGATTGACTTTGCTTGTCAGAAGGTTGCAAAAGGTGATCACATTGCAACTTTCATAAATAGGAGTCAATTACTAAGTGTCTGAATTTTGATCACATGACCTGAGGATGCTGCAACAGTCGTAAATGTGAAAACCGTCATAAGCCTTTTTTTCACTGCTGTTGTAGCTTCGGTCACTGAACGAACTATTATTAAGTCGAGGACTACCTGGATCAATTATATGTACAATATCCACCACTGTCTTTTAAGTGTCTTCCTATAAGTATAATAGAAAGACTGATCAATATTACTCTACATGATCACAGCCTGATATGTTAAAACTGGCCTGACTGGTTTCTCTTATGTGTAATGTATGTTTTATTTTCTTTTTCTGTATGTTAAAAAGTATAAAAATAAAAATCTTGGAATAGTGACATTTACTTCCAGGTAGAATACATTCAATTGTCCTATTAATCTCACTGTAAAAAGAAGGAAACAATACTATATTTTGCAATACTATATTTGAAGGCAAATAGCAATTCTGGAGAGTGTCAGTGTCTCTGTAGCATTTGCCTGCAAGTCGTTAAATTGAACACAATATATCTCTTCCAGGGTCGTATTTCATCTGTCGAGGGCAGCTACATGATCGTGGGAAAAGCTTCATCTGCCCCAAGGAACTGCAGGCAGGTGCTAAGTTCATGACCTCACACACTTCTCAAGCACTATTTCCCCTTCCAATCAGAAACACTGCCCAGCTCTTACACTGAATAGAGCTATGTAATTATGTACTGTCTATGCAAGGGAAATACCCATGCAATCCAATGTGCTCCTTCTGAAATGTCACCATATGAAACTAACACTGTACTGTACAGTTTAATACTGCAAGCTACTTCTGCTACCTGCCGGCTGCTTGCAATTTGGCAGTTCGAATCTCAACAGGCTCAAGGTTGACTGAGCCTTCCATCCTTCCGAAGTAGGTAAAATAAGGATCCAAATTGTTGGGGGCAATATGCTGACTCTGTAAAACTGTTTAGAGAGGGCTGTAAAACACTGTGAAGCTGTATATAAGTCTAAGTACTATTGCTATTACTAATAAAAATGACATTAAAAATTTTCCGTAGAAAATTAGGCATGATTGAATTTAAAAGTTACTGATTTGGTCTAAAGTCCTATGCCCATGTTTGAGTTGAAGTGGATTTAGGACAAGGGTGTCAAACGTCATCACGGCAGCATCATGTGATGTATCGGGTCTTCTTTCCCCTTCGCTAAACCGGGCATGGGCAGCGCATGATGCAATCGGCCCATGGGCAGGAGTTTGACAGCCCTGATTTAGGAGCTTGCAAGATTGCAACATTAAGTTTAATAGATTAAAAATCATGCTACTTAAAAGAGCAGTTTATAGAGTGAGTATACAGGTAGTCCTCAACTTACATTCATTTGGTGACTGAAGTTACTACAATGGCACTGAAAAAGATAACTTATGATGGTTTCTCACACTTAAGACTGGCAGCATCCCCATAGCCATGTGATCAAAATTCAGATACTTGGCAACTGGCATGTACTTTTGACAGTTGCAGTGTCCCAGGGTCATGTGATCCCCTTTTACAATCTGACAAGCAAAGTCAACGGGGAAGCCAGATTCACTGAATAGCCATGTTACTAATTCAACAACTGCAGGGGTTCACTTAACAATTGTAGCAAGAAATCTCGTAAAATGGGACAAGACTCATCTCACAATGAGTTAACATTCTACCTCAAAAACTATTATAAATCTTCCATAAAATATACTGATATGATAGAAGAAATGTATTTTCTAAATTCGTCTTCAAACACTTATCTGGTATTCTTTCGTGCATACGAATTTTCTAATGCTGAGATTTTACACCTACTGCTAAGTATTCTCTTGCTTAGCAGCAGAAATCAACTGAGATTGTAAGTCCAGGACTACCTGTTATTTGTATTGGGTGTAAAACATCGAAATTTGTGTTTCTTCTTTTCACATGTTACTACTGTAACTCTAAAAACCACAAGGCTGAAGGTTCTGAGAAGATTTGCATAATAATAAAGTTATAAATAAATAAATAAAAATCACTATTCTTTCTTAAAAAAAATATTGAATCCCAATATAGAATCTCTCAACCCATCTTTTCTACCATCTCACTCTTATTTAATCTGGCCACCCCTATAATTTTATATCTTTTCATTTTATGAATTAATATATTAGTACGTATTTAATTACGTACGAATTAATATATTAGTATTTAATTCTTGGCATAACTACCGTGTTTCTCCAACAATACGGCCTCCACCAATAGGAAGGCCCAGCATGATTTCTAGGCATGAGGTGAAATTAAGCCCCATCCTCAAAATTTAGGCCTATTTAATCCATGCATTTCCCCGCCATTTCTCACATCGTTCATTAGAACTACACGAGGCAAAGAGAAATGGGGGGGAAGGGTGGGGGGGTGAGGAGAAAACTTGCCTTTAGGAGTGCCCTGCAGGTAGCCTAGGCTAGAATACCCCGATCTACTGATAGAACATCAGCCGATAGAAGCTCCCCAAAGGCAGAGTCCCCAGCCACTTCGTTCAGCCGGTAGAAGCGGCCTCGGGGCGAGAGCACACACTCCCCTCGCCGCGAGGCCGCTTCTACCGGCCGATTGAAGTGGCTGGTAACTGCCCTTGGGGAGCTTCCATCGCCCGAAAGACACTGCCTAATGGCGAGGGGACACGGGCAGCCATGCCTCGCCCCGAAGCAGCTGGGAACTCTGCCTTTGGGGAGCTTTCGTCAGCTGATAGAAACGGCCTCGCGGCGAGGGGAGTGTGCATATGCGCTCGCCCCAAGGCTGCTTCTACCGGCTGAAGTGGCTGGTGACTGCCCTTGGGGAGCTTCCATCACCTGAAAGACACGCCTCGCCCTGAAGCGGCTGAGGACTCTGCCTTCGGGGAGCTTTCGTCGGCCGATAGAAACGGCCTAGTGGAGAGTTACGTGTGTATTGGCCACTCTTGGTGGGGGAGGAAATTAAGTCACCCCCGAAAAGACAGCCTAGCCGTTTTTTCGGGGCTCAAAAAAAAATAAGGCCCGGCCTTATTTTGTGAGAAACACGGTAAATTATTGATTTCAGAAGGACAAGGGAGGAAAGATTATGTATAAGACATAAAACCCATACATACCGGTACTATAAAAATAATTTTAATTTCACAATAACTTACATATAAATTAGCTTAAAATATTATGATTGCATTTTGATATTAATATTAAATAAAGGAATATAAACAGGGTCATTTGGAAACAGTACAGTTAATTATCCACTTCTGCTCCAGACTCATGGTCTGTGCCATCGCTATTTTCCTCGTCCTCTGATTCATCATAAAAGAAAATTGTGGCTTGGACAGGAAAGTTCCTCAGAAGTGCTTCAGCTTCATGATACATGTAGTCAAAACACTTGGATTTGGGCCAGAATAGCCTAAAACAAATAGACATATGCAATTTAATATGTAAGGAATAATTAAAATCACTTCATCTCATTCTACTTAAGTCTCATTCTACTTAAATTCACTTCATCTCATTCTACTCAGTAGGCTGTTAGCTTAAAATAGCTTAAAATAAACGATCACTTCTTTAATATTAGCAGTATTTGAAAATGGAATTATATACAATTAGAGATAACAGTTTCTTTTTAGGCCAAGTACGTGCTGCTGAAATAATTAATGCATAAGTTTGTTCAAAGATTGCCTTTATGCTCTCAGGGAGCTTAATGCTGTTTAATTTGTAAAAGCACGAAAGTCAAATTTGCATTAACATTCCACCTCAAAATCTGTCATAAATATTTCATAAAATATACTGTGATAAAATAGAAGAAATTTATCTTCTAAATTTATCTTTGAACACATATCTGCTATTCTTCTGTGCATATGAATTTGCTAATGCTGAGATTTTACATCTATACCTTCCCTCAAAATGGTAAAGTCAATATCTAGGCAGAACAATTAACGTTGGAGACTCCAAAGCATCTTCTGGGATTGAAACTATTCATTTTTAACTGCCACTTTATCAAGCACACTCAAGAACATTCAGCAGCACTATTCTAATATTTCTCAAGAGGAGCTTAAGAACAGAAAGTGCTTTTTAAAACTGGAAGGATTTTAAAATACGGTTGAAGTGCATATAGGCAGGAAGACATGGTAAGTTAATTTAAGGTTACACTATATTTAATTACAGCAAATATGACCCCATCAGCACACATCTGCAGACGTAGTACAAATAACCAGGAATGCTTATGGGAAAACCCCCAGATTGAAAGAGAATCCTTAATTTTCCTAATCAATATCCCAATTTATATTCTTGCAATACAAGGCAATGATTTAAGATATTGAAATTTTGCTTGATTACCAGTACATCAATAATATTAAAGCACACAATGTTTAATGAGAAGTTCAGATTTTATTCAACACTTAAGTCATTTCACATTTATAATCACTCTGCATAATCAAATATGCAAATATTGAAAAAAATGGCAACCACAGTCAAATGCAACTTCTCTGGCACAATTAACATTGGGTCTTATTCATAAATTAAATGGGACTCAAAGATATCTGGTATGGACTTTATGGCTGCAGTTTTTAATAATTTGGGGCACTTAATAATTCCATAGAAGTTATTTATATCCAGTGAAGAAAGTTTAGCACTGCACAAAAATTCAGTTTTGTCGCTTACTACAAATGACATACAGGATAATATTCCATTATCTGCTATTTTTTTAAGTAAATATAGCAGGTTTCTAATTCATCCTATCCTGTTCTCACAGAGGGTGACTGTCAACAAGGAGAGAAACCATACAGAAATGCTATAGGTGGCCTTGGATATTGAGGTCATCAGCCTGTACTGGCAAGGATCCACAGTGTAACCAATGTGCAGCTGTAGCTATCAGAAAAATGTTGACTGCATTTGGACACATCTGCTACAACAATCCATACCAATTTCTTTATCAGTTGCTTTAAAAATCATGGGCCATGGTTTGGAAAGCACAGTGATCAGTTCTAAAGAAAACTTTGCTTAAATATGTGGGCTTAGATCAGCCAGCAAAATTCAACCTATTTAATAGCTCTGGGGATTTTATTCTTGACTGGTACAAAACATGAGAAGGGCAGAATATATATCTCATATAAATAAAAAATATAAAAATTGACATAGATGCTACAACGTGGCCAGAGGAAGAGCAGGAAAAAAATAAAGTTGTAAGCCTTCCAGAGTCACTTGACAGTGAGATGAGAGGCATATAAATTTCATAAATAAATAAAATAGTACAGTATGGGTGACCACTTTAGAGTCAGTCTTAAGGTCTTTCCTCATTGCTGAGTTGAAATGCTTAACATTCGACAATTTTGAGTTCACAAAAACTGCTCGCAAACCCTACATGCTCCGTTGCTTCACTTGTGCCAGTCACTCATGCCTCTTCCGTTATCTCCAAGGTCATGGTGACAAAACTTAACAGATTTTATGCCTCTTCAAGCAGAAGCCTTTGTAGGAGCCAACATTTCCACTGAAATAGTGAAAGTCGTATGGCGTTGTCACATCACCAGTTTACCCTTTCGGATGTGCACAAAAAGGGGCAGAGTCTGTGGAATGATGGGAGTGACACTGAAAATGAGACTGTCCCTGGATGGAGCCAGACTAAATGCAATCTTAATACCAGCCAAGCTATGGAAGAAGTTGGGCTGTTTCACTTAGAAGCTGGATTGAAGATGAAGGAACATGGCAAGGAACATCCAAGGAACATGACAGAAAAAGATATTACCAGGGCAGTTTTGTGGCACGGTAGAACCATGACCTAAGTAAGACATTTAGGTGTGCAGAAAACAACTCTCCCAGTGAAGATTCAGAATCCCAACAGCACGTTAAACTTTTCTAGCACTTGAGACAGAAAATCCTTCAAGTCTGTTCTGAAATAAGAAGAGTGCTTTGAATAGCAAGGCACATAAATTTAATAAGTAATACTTTGTATTTGCTAAAAATTGGAAAACTGAGAAAATACCATTGCAGGAAGAAATTATTAAGAAAATATTGGAATGTGCTGAAATGAGTAGATTGACATTTGAAATTAGAGAACAAGAAGATAAACAATTCTATAAAATTTGGGACCTTTTCTATCAATGGTTGGATGATAACATACAATAATAGAATATTAGATAATAATGAATATATAAAAAGATATGTTTCTTTTCTTTGTTATTTGATATCATATCTATAAAATGTTTTCAGGATAGATTTGGTATGACTATATGATTTGTTATAAAATAAACTAAGTAAATTATAGTTATCTCGTAAAGTATGAATGAATAAAATTATAGTCAAATGATTGTTTAATAGTGATACTAGGATATATAATTTTTGATTGATAATATGAGTTATTATGTAATGTAACTGTAATTGAGACTACGAAATGAATGCACAAAAACTGGTAAACCAACCGACACACTGTTAGTATATTTATGAAAGAAAGCTGGATGTTTTTATGTTTTGTTTGTTTTGTTTTTTTAAAAAACTAATAAAATTGTTTAAAAAAATAAATAAATTTAATAAGTAATACTAAAGTAAAAATATTATTTCAAAAATAAATGTATTTCAATTGCCTCTACCTTTTACGGGCAATAAATACATAAACATCACAAGAAAATAGTATTTTGCTGTCTTCTAATTAGTTCAAAAGATACTCTGACAATTGATATGGTCAGCTCCAAAACAGATAAAAGTCATCTATTATAACTGATATTGCACATGCTAAAAAGAATAAAGACATAACAGAGCATCACTAAAACCACAAAATTAAAACAACATATACTTTAAATGTGGAAGACATTGGGAGGAAATCTTCTTAAGGCAGATAGTCCTTGACTAATGACCGCAGCTGAACCCAACATTTATTTGTTAAGCCAGACAGTTGTTAAGTAAGTTTTGCCCTATTTTATTACTTTTCCTTCCACAATTGCTAAGTGAATCATTATAGTTGTTAAATTAGTAACATGGTTATCAAGCAAGTCTAGCTTCCACATTGACTTTGCTTATTAGAAGGTCACAAAAGGTGATCCATGAACCTGGGACACTGGAACCATCATAAATACATGTCAACTGTCAAGTACCCATATTCTGATCACATGACCATAGGGATGCTGCAATGGTTATAAGTGTGAAAAGTATTCATAGGTCACTTTTTTCAGTGCAGTTGTAATTTCAAATGGTCACTAAACAAATGATCGTCAGTCGAGTCTATAGTTTAAAAAAAAGGTAAAGGTTTTCTCTGACCTATTATGTCCAACTCTAGGGGTGGTTCTGCTCTCCGTTTTCTAGCTGAGGGAGCCCGCATTCTCCAAAGACATTTCTGTGGTCATGTGGCCAGCATAACTACACACTGAGGCACACAGAACGCTGTTTCCTTTCCTTTGCATACTTTCAGACTGCTAAGTTGGCAGGATCTAGGGCAAGAATAGGAGCTTACTCTGTGGCGCAGTGCTTAGGTCTTGACCTGCCAACCTTCCAATCAACAAGCCCAGTGTCTTAACCGCTAGGCTAATAATTGGAGAAGCCAAAAATATTGAGAAATCATGTTGAAAAAGCTGTATTAATTATTTACTGATGTTATGTTTTGTTCTATTTATATTCTGCCTTTCATACAGAAGCAGTACTCCTATTTTTCCAGACACAACACTGTAAAATAGATTGGGCTGAGAAAGGGAGAATGAGAGAGAAAGGGAACAAAAGAGAGAGAGAGAGACCGAGAGAGAGAACACAAGAGGAAGAAAAAAGAGAGAATGAGAGAGAAAACAAGAGAATGAAAGCAAGAAGGCAGGAAAGAAAATGAGAAAATGAAAGAGAGAAAGAGAGAAAAAACAAGAGAGAATGAGAGAAAATGAAAGAATGAGAAAGAGAAAACAAGAACGAGAAAGAAAAAAACAAGATAAAACAAGAGAACATGAGAGTTAACAAGAGAAAGAGAGAACGAGAGACAAAGAAAGAGAACAAAAGAGAGAGAGAGAACGAGAGAGAACGAAGCAGGGGGAGACCCAAAAACAGTCAGAGAACTTCTAGCTACTAGATGAAGTCCTGATGTGTTTTGTGTGGTTTCAGATGCTATTTGAAATAAATATATACAATCCTATCAACTTTCTTGATACCTTTCTGTATGATTAACTGCTACCTGAAAATATGTTCAATTGAAGGCTTTACCTATTGGATCCCCCCCCCCACACACACACACCAATAGGTAGCTTTTTAGGGCACAGGAGCCCTGCTGGGAAAAATGGAAAAGATTAATCCTGAGAGTCTCACTAATAGCAATAGCACTTAGACTTTATAGTGCTTTACAACCCTCTCTAAGAGGTTTACAGAGTCAGCATATTGCCCCCAACAATTTGGGTCCTCATTTTACCCACTTCGGAAGGATGGAAGGCTCAATCTTGAGTCTGGTGGGATTTGAACTGCCAAATTGCAGGCAGCCGGTAGTCAGCAGAAGTGGCCTGCAATACAGCACTCCAACCACTGCGCCACAGAGGCTCTTTGTATTTTCCTAAATACTATGTTTTAGGAAAAAATGAAATTGTTTTATCTTACCTCACTGGGTGGGTATATTGTGCAAGTTTTACAAAGTCTTCTGTAGCCTCAGAAGGGCTGTGCAACTGGAGCAGGAAATAAAGGTCAACAGAATGGTTGAAATTTCTAATTATGGATAAAAATGAATTGTACAAATGTATAAATGCATAAATGTATATAAAATATATATGATAACATGTATGACAAAAAAGGAATGTCAGGATGATCACACCGTGTCCAATGTTTTAATAATTTAATTAATAAAATTTGTAAAAACACAAAAAGAATGGTTAAAATTTCTGATACTTTCAGAAAGAAGAAATCTGAAATTGATTATTTAATTATACATTTTTTATCAAATCAAAGCCTTCCATTTCAGGAAAATGACTCTGGGTGGCATATAATAAAAATACATAATTTTATTATTTAATATTATGCCTTGTTTCCTGCTTTTTGTTCAGGAAATATATTAGACACTCCCTTTTCCATTTTTTTCCTTCAACAGCAACCCCGTGAGATGGGCTGGGCTGAAAGAGCATGGGTCTTTCAGTGACCCAGGGTCATTCAGTGATATCAAAGTAAATATTGGATTTCATTTTAGTCAGCACACCCCAAGCACTCTAACGCAATACGCATAGTTATTTTCCCTCCCCCGATTGTGCAATCATCATAAATCTTAATATTCGAATTAATAAATTGCTGCCTTTCATAGTGCCTAGCACAAACTGATATATTACATTGCAAAAAGGCATAACCAATTTAGGAATTATATTTCAGTCACATGAGCCCCCAACATGCAAACTTAATTTAGTAATGAAAATCCTCTGCTCCATAAATCAGCCTTTTAGTTTATGTTTTTTTGATGGAACGCAGTGAGATCTTTTATAATTATTAATGCACCAATATCTAGAATCTAGAATCTGGACTAAAGATATTGGCGCATTAATAATAATAGTAGTAGTAGCAATCGTTAATGGCATACGTTTCCTTCCTTTCACCGCACTCCGAAGTGAAAGAAAACCGAATTACTCCATTCAAGAAAGACCAGCTCCTGTAGCCTAATCCCACGTGGAAGGGCTGTCATAATTGTGACTACTGGACACACTCACCTCAACCTTTTGCACACGCTGTCTTTCGGCATCTTTTGGGGTGGGGATCCAAGGTCTCCAGAATCCTTCGGACCTGCAAATATATTAGACACGCTGCGTTAGCCGCGATGTGGCGGTAAGGCTCAGTCAAGGGGGGGAATCGGTTTCTGGAAGCTCCCGGGACCACCGACGGGGCCGGCTCCATTTTTCCCGCGCGATCAAGAAGCAGCTGGAAAAGATGGGGACCTCCCTCACGCCCCAAGGCTTGCTCGGGTTGCCCATTACGGGCTCTTGTGGTGATTGAGCTCAGCTACCCTGAAGTGTCTTTGGAGCAGATCCGGGAGTTTGCGGTTCCAAGCGGCGGAGAATTGTGGAGGCAGAGCGGCGAAGTCTCCATGCTCTGACTCTGGCCGCACTCAGCCCCAGCCAATCACACGGGTAAAACGCGGCCAAGTGTCTCGTTTCCTTTCCTCCCCGCGCTGGGCTGTGTGGATCGGCTGCCGCCCGAGGGGTTTTTATAACGATTGCTCAGGAGCCTCCCAGCCACCTTATCTCATTTGCCGGAGAGGTAAACAAAAAGGCTGCGCGTGAAAGCTGCAGTGGGGTAAACAAGGAGCGTGGACGCGTGCAAGCTCCAAATGGCCCAGGGAGAGATTTGGCAAGTGAGCGTTAATCACACTTGAGCAGACACATGGCTGTTTGTCCTGAAGAGAGGAAGCTCACGCTTGGGCTCTCGTCCGCAGGGTCCTGGGTGAGAAAGAAGCCAGGAAATATCCAGAGTTTGCCATAGAAAGAACGGCGCTTCCACGCGCTGTTGCAATATTGCTATCCGTTCATTTATGGATATATTGGAAATCCAAATAGCCCGAGCAATCACACAATAGAATTAAACAACAGTAATGGTACTTAACACTTTAAATTGTGCCAGCAAGAAGAGAAAGGAGGCAAGACATAACAGCTAAAAATGAAAGGTATACCATCATCCAAAAACAGCAATAAGTAACATAAATTACTGATACAACTTATATTATTATATTATGATGTAATATATTATTATGTGTTATAAATAAGCACGTAGTCCCTGCCAGATATTTGGTGAAGTAGCTAAGATCCTGGCCTAGAAACCAGAAGAATGTGAGTTCCCATCCTGCCTTGGCATAAAAACCGGTTGGGTGTCTGAACCAGTGATTTTTTCTCAGCGTTGTAACAGACAAAAATAGGATGAATTTTATGTGTGTTCACTGCCTTGAGTTACCTATAAAGTAATAAAGGTGAGATTAAAAATCTAATAAATAAAATGTTTTGGACCACTTCTCTAATCCCTTGCCATTGGCCATGCCAACTAGAGAAGACTGGGACCAAAGTTTTTAAGATTTATTAGGCATTCACTTGTCTGGCATTTGGTATAGTCCAGGGATCAGCAACCTTAAATACTCAAAGAGCCTAATTGGAACCTCCCCACACCTTCAATTCTGGAGCTAACCAAACTCTATGGCAGTTCCCTCACCATAGAGTCTCCTCCTAGCACTGTGTCCTTTTTCTTCTACCTCTCCTAACTGAATGCCCTATCAATTGTGGAGCCAACCGGCAACGGAGCCGCAGCAGAGGGGGGAAAGAGCCACATGTGGCTCTAGAGCTGCAGGTTGCCTACTCCTAGTATAGTCCAACTGAAAAAGGGTTGTCTTAAGAGTAAGTAATATTTGATGATAGGAATCTGGTTTTTGAAACTTCCTAGGCTCAAGATGCTTATTTTTTTAAAAGATTGATATCATGAATAACGTTTCAGAATACTGTGTATCTGCAGCCAATAAAAAATATGGAATCTTTTACTTTGGAGTTGGCTCGATCAACAAATATGCAACTTCTTGGAAACCATGGAAATTTCCAGAATGTCTTTAACCAACGTCATACAGAGGCCATTTCATTTCATATATCGGAATTCCATTTTGTAATTCTTTTGATAAGAGCTCAGTAAAAAAATAATACCTTACTTATTAGATTCTGAAATGTTTCTAATGAACAAACATGACTTTTTCTCTGTTGTGGTAATTTAATTTTTGTGTAACTAGAACTTGTGCATTCTCTAAGGTCATTCCTATCGAAGAAAAATTGAAGTCCACTTATCAAATTTGATAAAAAAAGTACATTAAGTCATAGAATCCACATGGAGCTGGTTTTAAAATTACTTTTGAAACTTCAAACCTGTCTTTTCAGAGAACAGTATAATAAAATTATTTGTGTCAGACTAAGACTGTGGAGATCCCTGAAAAAAAAGCTTTGACTTTACCGAAATAATCCTGCAAAAGAGAACCTTGAAACAGAACAGAGTGAATACCATTTCTGTCTGATGTAGATTAATTAACGTAAAGATTTAAATAATTACATTTTATTAATTATTCTTCCCCAACCCCCAGTCTGTGGATCTGTACTGGTCCGCGGCCTATTGGGAACTGAGCTGTGCAAGCAGCAGACAAGTGGGTGAAGCGTCATTTGCATATGTGCAGGATTAGGTTGTGTGCACAAAATCATTCAATCTCCCCCCCCCCCCGCCTCCACCACCCATTCATGCAGACAGAAAAGTTGGAGACCACTATACTAGAAGACTGCAGGTCCTAGACCAGTGGTTCTCAACCTTCCTAATGCCGTGACCCTTTAATACAGTTCCTCATGTGGTAAACCCCAACCATAAAATTATGGCTCGGTTCCTAAGACCATCGAAAATATGTGTTTTTTGATGGTCTTTAGGCGACCCTGTGAAAGGGTCGTTCGACCCCCAAAGGGGTCGCAACCCACAGGTTGAGAACCACTGTCCTAGACACTGATTCAGCATGTACTCTGAACTATCTGGCTAATATAGCAAGGAGGAATAACTCTGACACGGAATGGGACAACTGGCCTGCTGCAGCCAACTTACCATGGACAACTCACTCCAGGACAACTCGCCATGGGACAACTTATTGTGGGACAATTTAACAATTCTACTTAATTATTTAAAATAAATAAATAAATATTTTAATTTTTGCCATTCACATTTCATTCTGTCCCTCCCTTTGCATTCCTTTCTTTAATTATTCTATTCCACTATTTCTTTGATATTAGTGTAACTTGTCCTGACGCGAGTTGTCCTGATGTGAGTTGGCTGTGCAAGTTGGCAAATTGTCGTAGAACCAACTCTGATAATACTTAACCCCAGTTCCCCTAAATTATTTTAATTAGTGGTTTTATATAGGTTTTAAAAACAATGCATAAATGCCAAGGAGCAAAGCTAAGTATTAACAAAGTTTGTTTCTTTATTTAAATTTATATGCTACCCATCTCACTCTGTGAAGCGACTCTGGGCTTATGAATCACCAAAGCTTTTGTACTGCCAACCCAGGAAAGTGCCCCACATAGATACCATCTGTGATTGAAAGTAGGAATGTGAAAAACATTCCATGCACAAACAGTTCCACGCATGGAACAGCTGGTTTCAGAAGGTCTGTTTCCAAACCCAAACACACCTGTTTTGGGTACTTTAGTTAATGCATGAAACAAAACAGATTTATTTTGCTCTGGAATTAAAAGAATTGTTTAGTTACAGGGAAAGTAGTTGGCAGGAGCTAAGGACATTGGTGGCTGAAGACAGACAGGAAGGAAAGCAAGGAAAAGAAAGTTCTAGGAAGATATGAGTATGGAGAATCTGGATCATCAGCATTGGTGGCAGCAATTTTTATAGGAATACTCCATTAAAATGGAATGATATTGGAATGATAGTCATCACTATTTGGAATTGTGGAGTAACCAAATTAAAGAATTGCATGAGAAAGTAAAACTACAGGTAATTCTTGACTTACCACCAAAATTGAGCCCAACATTTCTGTTAAGTGTTAAGTTCTCCATGATATCTAATTAAATTATATGAAGTTGAAATGAAAATGTATTATTAAAAGGTTTTTTCACAATAATCCATTGGAATTTATTTTCACTCAATGCTTACTAGACATTTAATATCATAATTTCTGTTTGACAGTGGTGTGCGGATATTCATTGTACTATTATAAAACTACAAAAAATCAAAATAACGGATTTGTCACATAGTACAGGCAGTCCTCGACTTACGGCCACAGTTAAGCCTAAAATTTCTGTTTTTAAGCGTGATATTTGTTAAGTAATTTTGTCCCATTTTATGACCTTTCTTGCCACAGTTATCACTGAAGTTGCTAAGTTCGGTGGTTAAGTGAATCTGGCTTCCCCACTGACTTTGCATATCAGAAGGTGATCACGTAACCCCAGGATACTGCAATATTACGGTATGAGTCAGTTGCCAAGCATACGAATTTTGATCATGTGACCATGAGGATGCTAGTGAAAACCAGTCATTCACTTTTTTCAATCCCGTTGTAACTTCGAATGGTCACTAAATGAACTGTTGTAAGTTGTGTATCTTTGCATGGCCCTGATCTAAAGGGCACCTTCCCCATTTTTACATAGGAGTCACCATCATGACTTGTTGGAGCAAAGAATCTTGTTAGTATGTCCACCGACTAAGCTTTCACCAGCAGAAGTTTCTTGGTAACAAATATCAGTGACATTCTGTAAACAGTTAAGCCTGGAAGACTTGGTTGTTCTCCCAGGCCTTGGGATGAGATGGATGGGACCCCTTACTGAGTGGATGTTTATTGTTTTTGTCTGTATATAATGGCCAGGTCCCACCTTGGTTTGGTTTGTATTTGTGTGTGTTTTTTATGGCATTATGTTGTGAGTTGCCCAGTGTTAGTCAGAACTGGGCAATGCCTAAATTGATTTAAATAAAAGTACTATGTATGAAAGATAAAATCTCCTTCTCGTTAACACCCATGGAGCAGTATGAAGGTGATTTGCTATGTTTGGGGGGGAGGGGAGGGTTTCCCAATTGATCCTACAGCCCTGGTAATTTCCCATTCAAGTAGTAATCAGTTCCAGCTTTTCTTAATGTCTTGGCCCAGACTGATTTATTTATTTGATTTATATTGCCACCTATTTGCCCATGGTGACTCGAGGCGGCTTATACAATGTAAAATCATATTTAAAACAAAAAATAAAAATAAAAACAATAAGAACTAACAAAAAGAATCAAATAAATTAGTAAAGTACAATAGACAAAATTTGGGAAAACAAAAAACAAAACAAAAAACAAAAACCAACTCCCAGCCCCGAGACCGATGACAGCGGATCATACTAGCCATTTCATGGGTTCCATCCTCTCTGGGTTCCCCAGGCCCGCTGGCAAAACCAGGTCTTCAGTGTCTTTCGGAATAGTATTAATGAGGGGGCCATTCTAATCTCTGAGGGAATGATGTTCCAGAGAGAGACGGAGCCACCACAGAGAAGGCCCTTCTTCTAGGTCCCAGCAGGTATATCTCCCTCAGGGGTGGGACCCGCAGCATTCCCTGCCTCCTTGCTCTAATGCAGCGGTCGCCAACTGGTGGGCCGTGGGCCATGAGAAAATTTTGGTGGTCCGCAGAGAAATCTCACC